CAAGGGAAACATTTTCCTTACTGACAGCACTGACGTAACGCCTAGGAGGAATGTAAAGGAAATATTCAGCTTCCCAGCTCCTCTAACCTCCCAAGTCAAACCATCAATACCAACACCATTGTGCCTTTCCGCTGCCAAAATCAGGAGTAAACACACAATACACAAGTCACAAAATATTAAGAGCTTATTTTCATAAACTGTGTGTTAGATAGGAAGAATGAAATAAAAATCACGCATGTTTAAATTCTCTGCCAAGATATTTTTGCAATTACAAGCTATACCTATTTCTTCCACATTGGGTTTATTTCTTTTCCCTCCCCATCCTTGACAGCTCACTTCATGCCAGGTCTTTTCTATAAAGCAAGTCTATACTCATTCACCTCTCAATCACCTACCGTCTCATCCCACTTCATGTCATCATAGTTAAGTGCCTATGCTTTGACGGAAGGGCCACCCTCTTCTCAGTCTGATGTTCCCAAGCCACTTCACCCAACAATGGATTAGGCGCATAGAAAGCAGCAAATGAATGTCCTCATCCAAAAACCTTTGGAGTACCTACTATGTGCTAGAGATTAGAGCTTCAATATTAATAAACATGTGGCCTTTGCCTTCAGGGGGTGCCAGTTTAGAGGGAGACACTTGTTCTCAGAAGCTCTTTCATCTCCTCAAGGACACTGATTTACTCACTACCTCTGTCTCCTGTGCAATCTCTTTCTAGTCTGTCGTTCCTCTCATTAGACCCATGCACTTTGCTCTCCCCCAACACTGAAAACAAAGTCCCCACTACTCCCTCACACCCCCTCTAATGACATCCTATTACTCAGTTCCATTGCTTTGTAACTAAACGTCTCTGAAAGTCGCCTTCACATACCGGATCCACTTTCTCACCTTTGAGTTCATCTCTCACCCATGGCAGTCTGTCTGGCCCCTCCATAAAAACCTAATTAAACCACACCAATGTCATTGGGTCGACACCGACTCACAGCAACCCTACATAGGGTGTCTAAGCTGTGGATCCCTATAAGAACAGGCAGCTTCGTCATTCTCCTGTGGAACAAATGGTTCCCTCCTTAGCCGGCCACCAGAATTGCTCTAGGAGAAACACTTGTCATACCCACCCACTGAGCCGTCACGGCCCCCATTTTGTTCGCCGTCACCTGCTCCCCAGCACCATTCTGCAGAGCCACCCACTCTTCCTATGGGAAATTCTTCCACCCTGGTTTGGTTTTGTTTTCCTATCACACAACTCCTTTGTGGTTCTTCCTCTTTGACTTGACCTCTAAATCCCAAGTTCAATCTAGAGACACTTCCCTTCTAGGACCACAAGTCTCTCTAGGGCACCTTGTCAACAGTCCTGAATTAAAAGCCAGCTGTCCAGGGTTATCAGGAGTCAGAAAGGACGCCATGGCAGTGGGTTTGGGGTGGTTTTGAACGCAGGTGACTTTCCATTTCCACCTCCAAATCTGGACCTCCCTCGAAAAGCCTCCTTGCATCCTTGCATCTTGAACTGCCCGCCTGCCCTACTGAGACATTCTGGGTCTCAAATTAAGCATGTCAGAAAGAGAATGATTAGATTACATCACCCCCCCCCAAAAAAAAAAAATCCTTGTCCTTACATTTACTCCAGGCTTCCTTCCTATCAACATAACAAATGAGCAAACAAGAATGAAACCATCTGTCTACAAGTCAGCTCAATGCATGATGACCCCCTGTGAGATGAGGACTCTGCTCTAAGGGCTTGTCCATGGCTGATTTTCCCAAAATCAATCACTAGACCTTTCCTTCTGGCGCACCACTGGCTGGATCTGAACTGTCAACTCTTTAGCTAGTAGGGGAGTGCCTGACCATAATCTGGTCAACTAACAAGGACAACAAGACACTAGAGAAGTCATGTAGGGGATAAACAGTTGATATTTGAAAGCCTTTGCCCACCAGTTACTAGAGAGCAATAACTCCCTGGAGGCAGTACGGACGACAGTTGCGAAAGGAAGAACTCGATGCAGGGAGAGACGAGCTAGAAAGATGACATGCTGTCAGAAGTGAGATGGTCTGAAGTAAGGCACTGGAAATGAGAAGAAAGAGGAGACAGACCGTAAGATGTTATGGCAAAATGAAAAGACGTTGACAACTATTAGGTATTTGAATAAGGAATGAGAGCTGAAGATGGCTCCGCTTTTAACTTGAGACTGAATGCTGAAGCCATTCACTGAGACAAAACAAGGTTTAGTTGGGGAGAAGGAGGAGTTCCTATGGGGCATATGAAGTATTGCTGTGTGTGGGCATACCCTACATGGATGTGGCCAGGAGAATGTTAATGAAGATTGTGGTGAGGTGGAGATCTTTGATGCAGAAAGCGGTATATATGTGGTAACTTCTTCTCTAGAAATAGAGATGATTGTTTAATACTTGTGCTGCAACTAAGCAGTTCCGTGGAAGACAGAATATTCCCACCCGGAAGTACAATTGTTATTTCCCAATATCCCCCTAAAACATTAAACAAAGACCATCACCACCACCCCCAAAAAATACCTCACTCACTGCCTTTGAGTCAATGCTGACTCATCTGGACCTTATTGGGCAGGATAGAATTGCCCTTGAGGGTTTCTGAGACCTTAATTCTTTACAGGAGCAGAAAGTCCTGTCTTTCTTCTGTCGAGCTGCTAGTGGTTTTGAACTTCTGACCTTGCAGCCCAACACATAACTACTGTGCCACCAGGGCTCTTAATTGTTGAGCCAAGGTTTCTGTATTTTATTATTATGCCCCCCAAGGTTTCATTAAAGCTTAAGGTATTATTATAAACTCACTGACATCGAGATGAATCAAGCTCACAGTGACCCTAGAGGATAGGGGGGAACTGCTGCACAGTTCCGAGTCTGTCAGTCTGTACGGAGGCGAAGAGCCTCCCCTTTGCCCATGGAGTGGCTGCTGGGTTCCCACGGGCAGCCTTTCAGGCAGCGGCCCAAGGCGTCACGCACCGCGGCACGGTGCTTCTAGATGACTGCGGGCCCGTCCTCAAAAACAGTCCGTGCCTGACACCTTGCTAAAGTGTCCCCAGTGTTCGACTGGAATAAAAGGGAAGACAGTAGAAGGAACCACATGTAGCTGGTGACGGAACTGAAATGTCATTAAAGGAGTGTGTAGCCACTGCTAACTCATGGTGACCCTCAGTTCTCTGGAATCTCCAAGTGTGGCGGGGAAAGCGTTCCTAGGAATCTTGAACGGCTGGGTGAAAGTTTCCCCAGTGTCATTCCTGGTCCACGCCTCGACACCCGCATGCACCGGACTGGGCGTGACTTGGAGCCCAGAGGCTGCCTTGTGGGAACCTCCCCTCTGGAAACCCAGCCAGGCAGGACTGCGGGGCTTGCTTTGCTCCATCACTTCGCTGAAAAGCAAACCTGGGACATTCCGCTTTCTCGTCCCCGGGAGGCTGCGGGGTGCATGGGCCAAGGGCGCAGCGGGGAGGGACGGAGTCTCCCTGTCCTTTCCTCCCGCAAGGAGGCCATTTTGACGTGGGAATTTTCTTTCTTCCTTTAAGGGAGTTTTTAGACATAAGGTGATAACCTGATCAGCCAACAAGACAAGGTCCCCTTAACGACTCCCACGATTCCTAAAGATAAAACTGAATAAAAATACCCAAAATAGTAGTCACACAAGGCAAGGGGGCTGATGGGCTGGAAGATGTCGTATTCCTACGGTGCATTTCAGAAAACGAAGAGGAAAGTGAATGAGGCAAGTGCTTACGCCTAGTTTCCAAAAACAGAACCGAGAAAGCATTTTTCCTCTTCCGGAAAAGACAGGGGTCGCGGGGGCGGCAGAGGTGGCGCAGGGAGAGCTCTGGTTCTTGAACATTAAATTTGAGTGCTTTCTCCAAAAAGCGCTCCGCCCCTGGCGGGCTGCTCTTCGCAGGGAGAACATTCTCCCCAGGATCCTCTTTCTTTCCGCCCGTGATTCGAGCTTCCAGGACCTCCGGCATCCCTTCCTCGCGCGGGCTCTGGAGAGCCAAGATGGCGGCAGAGCGCGAAGGGGATTTCCGCCGACGCACGCACGCACGCACGCGCATGCGCACACCTCGCACGGCGTCCTGCGTCGAGAGAAGCTCAGAGCGGGGGCGAGGAAGAACCCGCCCTCGGTGCTCGGCAGGCTCCCCGGGGCACTCACACTGGCGACAGGCCCGGGAAGATCTTGCGCAGGCAGGTGCCGATGTGAGCCAGCACCTCCGTCACGTCCTCGGGCGACGCCATCTTCAAGGAGATGCTGCACCTCTCGGTGTCCACGACCATCTGCAAGAAGCGGGATGGGCACTGCTTAATGAGGAGACCGAGAAGACGGCCGGCTGCTCGCTCTGTCGAGGACAGACCAGGCAGGCACACAGAAATACAGGGACGGAGGGCCAGCGTTGGAAACAAGCGCTCCTTAGAACACGCCCGCTCTCAGGACCAGGGTGGCCCCGGGGTAAAGTGCTGGTGTCCCCTGTGGGACCCAGGCTTGATTCCCAGGCAAGGTTCAGCCTCCATCATACACCCGGGCCATGCGAGTGCTGCTAGGATGCCGAACAGCTTTCGGATGAAGACGCACTAGAAAGGCCTGGCAACTTCTATCTGAAAATCAGTCGGCGGAAACCCCATGAATCACACGGGTCCAACCCACTGCCTATCTAGCCAGGGGAGGGCACAGGGCTCGCTTCTTTGTGCAGAGACACCACCTGCCAGGAGCGGATTCACCGGCAGCAACAGAAACTCCACACTTCGGTTATGGCCCAATGAACGGTTTGGGTGAGGAAGACAAACCTGAACTACAACCAACACGCCCACCCTCAGGCACAGAACAGAGTGGAAGGGCTCTGTCGGGTTTCCAAAACAGTGCACATTGACAGGAGGGCAGAGCCCCATCTTCCTCCTGCAGAGTGGCTGCTGGGTTCCAGCTTCTGACCTTTCCGGTAGTAGCGCAGCACGTAACTTACTGCACTGCTGGGCACCTAGGGGAAGAGGGGCATGTCCCCAAGAGAAAAACCCAGGAACTGAATGTAACCAGTGTTTCTAAATGTCCCAACTGGCAGATTCCAATCAGACCTAGATGCACATATTTACAGCATTCTAACATGATTTCTCCCTTTATCAAGACTTTGCCCCAGGATACAGTCTTGAGAAGCTTGTTAAAGCCTTTTTGCTACCTGATGGAATTAGCACTTCCTCTATCAGTGAGGATCTAAGGGCGATCTGATTGCTGCCCATTTCTTTGTCACATGGTTTAAACAGAAATGTGAAAACTTTGCCTGAGGGCAGAGGATACAGAGCATCTTTTCCTAGTGGTGGAAAATACTAGAAAAGGCTATAAGGGTGAGAGTGTGCATCAGGATGTAAGTAACTCATCTCACTTAATTGTCCATGTAAAAAATGTTGAAGCAGCAAATGTTTACATATGTATGTATGTGTGCGTGCATATATACACACACACACACACACACACACACACACACAAAACCAACTCAAAATGAATTAAAAGACTTATACTTAGGAGCAAAAGAAAAGTCAAAAGCTTGTAAGAGTTTCCGCCCTGGAACGGGAACTACATGGAAAGGTTTACGTTTCATGAAGAGAGGAACACAACTTTTACTGCTGGGTTTAACTACTAGGAAAAGTCGCGTTCCTACAATCAATTGCTGGAAACGTCCAGAAGCTATCCTGAAGAAATTTGAGATTGAGATCACAGAGCTACTCCTATAAATAAATATGAAAACAACCGCTGCAGCAGCAAAAACTGAGCTCAATACTGTCGGGTCATTTCCAAAGCATAGCAACCCCATAGAACAGGCAAGAACTGGCCCTGTGGGTTTCTGAGACTGTAACTCTTCACTGGAGTGGAAAGCCTCATTATTCTCCTGTGAAGTGGGGCATGGTTTCAAACTCCCGGCCTTGCAGATAGTAACCAGGGCTCCTTGCACTTCTTTGATAGCGCCCACAATAAAATAAACCAAACTCACTGCCACTGAGTTGAGGCTGACTCATAGCAGCCTTATAGGATGGGGTAGAACTGCCGCCGGGAGCTCTTTACAAGAGTAAAAGCCCTCTTTCCCCAGGAGTGGCTCCTCACAATAGGTTCTGTTCGATCTTCCTTTTACAGATATAAGAATTGAGGACCAGAGTGGTTCCAGAATGAACTCAAGCCACTAAGTGGCTCAGTAGGATTTGAGTGCATTATAAGGGATGGCTAGCGAGGCATTTGGAAGGGTCAAAATTTTGCTTTGGGAATATGCTCCTCAAGAAATTTATGGCAACTCTTGTAATTTTCTAGGTAAAGGTCTAGCAGTTGGCCGTCGACAGGGTGTACATTAAGGTTGAAGGGTATTGCCAGCACTTGCCCCTCCCCCCCCAGCAGACACACAGAAAATGAACCAGGACTCATTGTTGTCCCTGAATGTGATCACTGACCAACCTCAGGCTAGCTTCATGAAGTGTCCTACCTACCTAAGACTGGCGCTGCTTTACTACGAAGTGAGGCTATTAAGATACGCACACCCTTGGGCAAATACATGTTCTAAAAAGCCTGATACTTAGGGAAGTGCCTGCAGTGTTCAAATCTATGCCCTACCCCCAAACATCCCACAATGGGTAATTATATTTTTCACTACAGGGTATTTCTACATCCTTAGCATCTAGTAATCTATTCTGTTCACAGTTTGGGTGCTGGTAATTAGCTTATTCTAATTCCACTTAATCTCAACACCTAATCATCCGTAATTGCATGAGACTGAAAAGAGTGACAGGAAAGAAAGGAGGTGACAGGTGAGAGAAGAAATTAAGGCCTTCAAATTCATCCTTCTTTGAAAGCACTTAAACAGCCCTACATTCTGAGAACTCCCCCCTCCACACACACCTCCCTCCCCTCCCCACGCCTTGGCAGAAGGTAAAGATGCTAACAAAGGAGACTCTAGGGCAAAAAAAAAAATTGTTTAATCAGGAAAAAATGACATCTTACCATATACACGGCCAGCAGAAGAGAAACAAGGTCTGAAACTTTTTTTAAAATTTAGAGACCTAGCAAGATATATCCCATGAGCTTTTATATATAAATAAAAAAAAAATATATATATATATAGAAAGAGAGGGTGAGAGAGAATGATCCCAAATTGAAATGCGTTTTTTTCAGAGAACCTTTTATTAAATCCTTAAACCGAACAAAGACCATACAAAGACAAATGTGAATCACCCGATGAGGGAGACCATCATAATGAGGGCAAGATAAGGTCCGTGGGATTCACAGTCACGTAGCTAAATTATGAAGCATCCAAACCAAAGGAAATTCTCCACGGTATTCTGGCTGGCAACAGATCAATGGTCACAGTCTCAGGCAAGACTATGGATCAGAACTGGGTTATCTACATAGCTGTAGAACAGAAAGCTCATGGAGTCGATTCTGGGCCCCCCAATGATTTTTAACCCTATGGTCCTGGTACCCCAAATTACATCAAGGGCATGCATGCCCAAGGAGGTAGCAGGAATCCACTTTCAAACACGCTGTCTGATGGCAGCAATGCCTTTTGACACGTTGCTGGTCAGTGGTTGGTTAGAAAGAGCTCAATGGAGGCTGACTCTATAGAAACTCAAAATAGATTCTGGACTCCCACTGTAAACTGCTGTCTTCCGTAAGCCTGGTGCTCAGAAGTCAAGCTCTAGGATCTGGATTCTTTAGCTCCACCGCACCTCCTCTTATCAGGTGCAATCATCCAAATGCATTTTATCGCATTTTCTACCAAACTGCAACTAGTAGATTCAGAAACTGCCCCCACCCCTACGATAAACAGCCACGGGTGGTTTACCAACATCGCCCTGTGACGTAGTCAACAATTAGCCTGACTATTGAAGTACATCACTGCATGCTTTCAGCTGAACAAGAAACATTTAGCATTTCTTTAGCTCTAACAATACAGCTACTGACTTCAACATATGGACCATGAATGAATAAAATAATAATGATAATAATAATAGTAAGGCAAAGGACTCCCACATTTCCACGAGGAGGAAAACACCAATAATAAATGCCACACGTCACTAACTCACTAACACTCTTATGCAGTGCCTAAGTCCAAACGGAAAGGAAACATTGATCAAAGTAACAGTGACAGAGAATATTAGGAGAGCATGCCTCACCGGCACAAGATTGCGAGTGCCACTGCTGACGGTGTCAGCCTTCACCGGATAGAAGACCCGAATGAGACCCTCCATGGGCCGGAGGCTGCAAAAGTGCTTGGCCGTCCGTTTCGAAGAGCAGCAGAATCAAATGGAAAACTTGATAACAATATAAGTGCCCATCCCACTTACTGAATGTGGAGATGTGTGGGGTTAAGAATGTACACGTATGAAAGAGCATTTGCAATGAATGTAAATAAGTAAGTGTGGTGAAGAAGGCTGATGGTGCCCGGCTATCGAGACCTATAGCGTCTCGGGACCTAAATGCTTGAAAGTAAACAAGCGGCCATCTAGCCCAGAAGCAATAAAGCCCACATGGAAGCAGCATACCAA